TTTGCACACTCTTCTTTCAAAGTCAAATGACGTAGATGTTAGTCTACACTGACGTAAACTTGGTTTCCTGTCCTTGAGATGCACAGCAGACTTGATATGCATTATTTACTGTTGGCTCACACAATCCACTTGCATAGATCTGACAGGAAGTATTCTTTACACTGACCCTGAGCTGCTCCTTTAACTGGTATAACACTGATAGTTGGTCTGCAGTGTATATGATTCTCTTTTGGCAACCAATGACTGCATGCCACCTGTTGGTCTAAAAGTAGCAACCACTTGTGTTAACTATGAACGGCAGATGCTTTAAGTTATCCATCAGTATATGGTAACCAACAGTGGACTCTTGCTTGTGTACAGATATTTTTATTTATTTATTTTTTCTGGTTGTTTACCCTTTTCAATCTATAGCAGGAGGCAAGTGGATCTCCTTCACCGAAGAGGCCTAGAGGAAGACCAAAGGGCAGCAAGAACAAGCCAAGCTCCACGGCATCTAGGGGCAAAGTGAGTAGAAATGTTTCAGTGGTTTTGTGCACCGCTACCACCTCTACGATATTACCATCAACGACGAGAAACCGACAAACCTGTATCTGTCTCCCGGCCCTCTATTACCAATTGAAGTTCTTTGTTGGCATCCATGGTTCCATAACAAACTTAACATCCACAGAACCTTTTTATTGCACAAAAACTTCTTTATAGAGGTTGTCACATAAACCAAAAAAAAAAGAGGTGGTTCTTTGGGGAGCCTAAAATGTGGTTCTATGGAATGACCGTAAACCCAACTTTTGGAACCTTTAATTTTGGGAATGTAATTGGGCCTAATTTGTTAGGGTTTTTTTCCCATAAGTGTAAGCATGCCTGTTTACAATCAATTTCTTGGCTCCTCATCTTTGGTGCATCTTATGATCTGAACAGTCTTGTTTTTTCGTTAGAGCCTGCAGATAAAACCAGTTGCTCAATTCCGGTTGAATCTTTTGACTTCCTGCTAGCTTCCTGTGGCGTAGCAGGCGCTGTGTGTTGCAGGTGCACAGGCTGCAGTGCTGTCTCTGAGATGATAACCCCACCCCCTGCTTCTTCCCTTCTTTCCCCTCCATCTATTGTCATGACGACAGCTGACCCATCCAACCCCCCCCCCACATATGCACACCACCTCTCCCTTTGTTTGTGTGTGCATGCGCGTCTCGCCCGCTTGTACCAGCTGTCTCTCAGCTCCAGACCAGGTGGCCGGCGAACTGAAGTGCACTGCGTGCTGCTCATGTCCGTTTCCAACATAATAGCCAATGAACTCTCTGCCCCTGGGCCGCCTGCCAGCACGAGCCCAACATCGCCCTCTGGTGCTCAACTGCACGCAGAGCACCTTGTTTATTCTCTCTTTCTCTTTCAGAAAACAGCAACGGCTTCGGCACCTGCAGGGATGAAACGCAGAGGACGGCCCAAGAAAGCAGTGAGTTTTCATTTGTTTTCCGTTTGGTGCATTTCGTGTGCCATTTATAGTGAAAACCGCAAGGCTGAACGGGTGTTTGTGTGGTGGGAAGTTGCCACGGGCAACAACAAAAACATTTGGCTGCTTCTCACCAGGGATTTCTTGCAGTTCTTTCTCCCCCTTCGTTTCTCCTGTAGGTCTTGTTTATAAGAACAGATCAAATATCTTGAAGCCTTTTATTTTGATGTTAAGTCAGGCATGTAATCCGGCAGAGCCCAGTGCCGCCCCCCGTTTCCTCGACAGCTCACTGTGTAGTCATCAGCCCCGTGTCTTTGTGCTGCATTCCTCTCACATGAGGCACGGTTCTGGCGCTGGAGTTTAGTTTTCCTCATTCAAACATGTCCGCAGGAATCCAGCGAGTTGAGTCACACAAACCTCTGGCTTTGAGTCACACTACTAGTTATCGTGGCCATGCCGGGACGTTTCCTCCACTTACTCATTCACACGAAGCAGACAGGAGGCAAAATGTTAAAATGCCTTTGTGACTCATGTTTAATGGCTTAGGAGAGGAGTGTTACCACAAGTGTCCCTTTTGAGCATTTCCACAAAGTGTTGGAGTTTGCATCAGCCTCGCTGTGACCCATAGTTGCCTAGAAGACTGTTTTAAGTTATTGGTGCAAGTTGTGAGTCAGCAAGTCGGTGACTCTCTGATGGTGTTTAGTATCTTAAATTTTTTTTTTTTCCTCAGATTTGAGATAATAGACAGCAGTTGTCACACTTCACCTCAAAAAGTAAAGAAAAACAAATTGCACATACAAAGAAGCCTATTGTCAGGATAGGGCCATATTTAATTTGACACGAATGAAATTGAGGCTGAGAGGGACTGAAGTACAGTGCGTTTATAGGTTGTAGTGTTTAATATACTGATTGCTCAGCTGACGAAATGTCTTTAAGTAGGCAAAACCTCCATGACACGGTTTTGAAAGTTGTGAAAATGACATGATCTAGGAGTGTGTGCCATTGTAAGGATTGAGTCTGTCCCTCACAACCTCGTTTTCATCCACATGAAATTCAATATGGCATCTAACCCGATTAAAGTCTGTTGCATTCTGTTATAATTTGCATGCTGTAATGCAAATGTTAATGTTATTCTCTCATCTGACCGTTTGTTGCTGTCTGTCTCTTCAGGAGAAGGAGGAGCAGCCATCTAAGTCCTCTGAGGAAGAAGAAGAGGAGGAGGAAGAGGAACAGTAACTAGCAACATGTGCTACCTCACAATCCAACGTTATTTCTTCCTGTTGACCAGAGCTGGACTGACCCTCCCCATTCCCCCTCTTCCTCTTACACTAGTGCCACCCTCACCCTCCAATTCACCTTTACGCTCTAGCGCCCCCTAGCGTCAGGGAGGCTTGCACACTTCATGCGCCTTCTCTGTGTAACACCACTGGAAAAAGACTCAAAATACTGTATGTCCATTCGTGGATGCATGCACACGTGTATGTCTCGCACTCAATGGCTAATTGGTCGAAAGTGTCTGTCATTATACTGGACAAAGATATGCTCTGATGGCGGCTTGACACAAAGCGATTTGCGAAATACTGAAGTTTTCTCTTTTCGCAAGCAACCGTTTCAGGCCTAGAGAATTCAAGTTTATTTTTACAAGTCTAAATCTAAAATATGGTAGGTTGTGTGAAATTCATGTTGTGTACTGGACAAAGGTGATCTGACCTACTCGTTGTTTTTACTTGGGTTGTGTGTGCGTGTGTGTGTGGGAACTCTCTGTCTCCGGTTAAACTTTTTTAGCTACTCCGTGATTCAAGCTAGAAATAAAATGAGCGTATTTTTTGAGTGACTAATCTAGAGGACTTTTAACTTGTAATCAACATATCATTGAATGCTTTGTCATGAAACATTTTTGACTTTTTTTTTTGTTGTTGTTGTTGTTGTTTTGTTTGTTTATAATGCCCTCCGCGGACTCGCCACCATCATGATTTCACTGATTCCTGCAATAAATTCACTGGCACGCAATGCTACGTAGTCAGTTTCTGCCCGTTCTCAGTGTAGGTCAGCTTACTGGATGTGCTAAGGAGCAGTTAGCTTTTCTGGCTGTGTTCAAAATGTTGTTTTTGGAGGACGATGATTGGTATTAATTTTGGAAATTACAATTTTTTTTTTTTTTTTTTTTTTTTTTTTTTAAACCACCTACTGGTCCTTGTTCCAAAAAGGGCACCACAAGTGATTTGACACCAGCAGTGCATTTAATTTTATCAGCCCCAAATCTGTGAACTATACATGCAAACATTAATCACTTTTTTTTTTTTTTTTACTAGAAAATGCTACTTCATTCCATTCCCAGCTGTGTCACTTCTGTCCCATTACAGTCCACTCAGACAGCTTTTGCTTGATGTGTTTTGAGATTTTTTGTTTTGTTTTCTTCATGGTTTTTTTTTTCTTTCTTTTTTTTTTGACGTGTTAAATTCCATGTCAGGGAACGCTGATTGGTCCAGTGACTGGGTCTCCTCTCAGAACTTAATGCTGCTACAAACATGGTTTATTAAACCCGGAATACTGCAACCAGGTCAGTTCTACTCTGGACTTGACCGTCACGTTCATACCTCACTTTGCAACAGCCTATGACGGATTACTCTTCTCTTTCCTGACGATGTTCAACTGGTCTCAGTGCAGCCTTTGGCAAGCGTGTTTGTTTTGTTTCTTTCCAAGTGCAGTGTCGGATTCATTTACAGCTGTCTCCGGTGTGGGTTTTTCGTTGCTCCTTTTTGTTTTGTTTTCTACTGATTTTGCTTACAGCAGTGTGCATCAATGAACAGAAACTGTTTTTCATATAGAAACGTCTGGACACACCACAGGAATGACTGCATTGGGTCAGAGAGATGCGAAACATATTCACAGACTGTGGTAGAGATATAGGTTTGTGTGTTTTTGGTTATTTCTCTATACATGTGTTTGGTGCACTGAATTTACTTTTTGATTTGTTATATCATGGACAAAATGATTTAGTGTGGCACCTGAAGGTTAGGGCTCTCTTTGTTTTGTTTTTTTTTGTTTTGTTTGTTTTCTTCCCTCTTTCTGTTTGTAATGAACTATATCCTGCTAGTTGCTTCGCCCTGAGCCCCTGAATAGTAGATCATGATGGTACTATGGCTGTTTGACGCAGTGGTTTTTAACATGCCCCCTCGATGTACTGATGTCTTGGTTTTATGTGCCCGTGCCCACAACTGGTTTGGGATCAGTCTTTTCAATGTGTACACTCTGCATTTTCTATTGTGGACTGCAGGAATTTATATTCAAAATGGTAATAAAGTTAAGGATTCGTACATATTTTTGTGTGGCTGTATTTCTTTAAATTATTAATTGGCATTGGGCGAATGGCAGGAGCTGCTGCACTCATATCTGAGAGCATGAAAATATTTAATTGTTTAGCTGTCTGAAATGAATGGCCTGTAGTTTGCCTAACAGTCTGTTAAAATGCAGTAAATCTGGTTCTGCACTGCGCATATATATATATACAGTGGTGTGAAAAAGTGTTGACCCCTTCCTGATTATATATATATATATATGCAGGAGAATGTCTCCTACCCTAAATTATAAATAGTAGTTTGCTTGGGGTAATCAGTTTTGCTGGGCTAACTAAAGGCTATTGGCTAGTTAAGTGTTACTGCACCCAAAAATTAGAACTTATTTACTCACTATAACCAAACAGTTCTGGTTACCCTTGACTGCCACTGTGTGGGCAAAACAGATGTTTCTCAAAATATCTTCTGCAGAACATAGAAGATATTTAGAAAAATGCCCTGTTTTTTGTCTGTACCATTAAATTCATAAGGTTCCAATGTAGATAAGGGTCTGTAACAGCACGAGGCTGAGTAAATGCTGGTTTCATGTTGGGGTACCCCTTAGTTTAGCACTCTCTCATTCTGGCATGAAGCTGAAATCTAATGCAGACGTTCTCGTGACACTTCCAGTGCTGAGGAAACGAATGAGGAGGACAAACTAGCTTGCATAGAGAATGAAAAATAAAAGACGGTCTCTTGAGTGACGGTTTAGCACGATAACCCAGTTTGGTTTTGGTTGAGCACATCACATTCATGCACACTCGGTAAAATGAACAGCTCTCACGAGGATTTAATAGCACAGAACATCAGCAGAAAACATACAGCTAAAATAAATAAAAACTAACACGGTGGCGAATCCTGCTTGAGTCTTGCTATTCAGAGAGTAAAGCTGTGCTTCAGACCAGAGGGGAATAATATGATCCCAACGCTCGAGTCTTCAGTCTCCTGTAGATTTCTCCTGTCACTAAAGCTCATCTAGACTCAGAAAATCAGTAACTTTTTGCTCAGAATTGTCCATCTTGTGACTGCAATGCGGGACGATGAGATGGTATATGGAGTGACTAGTTATTGACCAGGTCCACAGATTGTGCAGAAGTTCAAGCAGGCTTTTTCATGCATCAGGATCCTTTGAGAGCAGGTGTCTGCGCTGCTGATACGTCCTCATCCAACCCCGGACCACCTGGACATGCACAAAAGAAAAGCTTCTCATATCTTGATATGGTTTATTACAGCGATGAAAGAGTTTATCACAAAGGCTCATTGCAACACGTAAATATGTGGAAATGTGAAAACATTCAATGCTCCCATTTCTTAAATATACTTTTCGCACTAGAATTAAAAATAGTATACTTTCTACAGTCCTAAAATTAACTAAAATACTGCAATGAATATAATATTAATCGCTCTTCCTCTTTTATCTTATTGTGGAAATTCTCGTGCATTCATAAACTTTACCTGAGGAGGTTATGCAACAATGACCAAAATCTTGGATGTTATGATTTAGGTCGTATGATACATATATTTACAGCTATATTTTGAATTGATCCAAATAATAGTACAGATATATCACATGGTTCATGAGTGTTTGTGGTTTACATGGGGGGGAAAAATAAGAAAAAACGGAGGTGGTTGTCAATGCAAATGTTTATAAGAGCTTGCTTTCTGCATGGGTCACATGGTAGACATTTCCCTGTTGTTTTGTTTCATTTTGTTATAAAGTTTTAGTATTTTGTATATAGTTGACCACATTCTGACAAATGCCATATACAGGTGCATCTCAATAAATTAGAATGTCGTGGACTGAAGTAGTTTAAGTCTTTGGTTCTTTTAATTGTGATGATTTTGGCTCACATTTAACAAAAACCCACCAATTCACTATCTCAACAAAGGAGTAATGATGCTGAACATTCAGCTTTAACATCACAGGAATACATTACATTTCAAAATATATTAAAGAAATCAGTTATTAGAAATATATATTTTTTTTTTTTTTTTTTTTTTTTTTTTATGAAGTCTTTTATGCTCAATAAGGCTGCATTTGTTTGATCAAAAATAGAGTAAATACTGCAATATTGTAAAATATTATTGCAAATTAAATAAACGTTTTCTACGTGAAAATGTTTTACATTCAAAATAATTATTTTTATTCCTTTAGTAATTTCAGCATCATTACTGCAGTCTTCAGTGTCACATGATCTTCAGAAATCACTGAAGAAACACAAATGTCTTTGCTGTCCCTTTTGATCAATTTAATCTGTCCTTGCTGAATATGAACATTAATATCAGTGGAGTACAGACTGACATTTGCTTTCAGTATGTGCAGTGGGAGTCAACAATAGATATCAGTGTTTTTCATCTCATAACAGGATGGATTACCCTTGTGTCTTCCTCTTTCCAGAGAATGTCCTGCTCCGCCTCGTTCAGCTCTTCGGTCGGGTCATACGTGTAAACCGGAAGCAGCTGATGCCGCAGTCTGTCAATCCTGAAAGTGCACAGACAGTTTTATTTCCTTCATCATACACTTATATGGACATCTACTTCTGTGTTTCAAAGAAGAAATCCTTACGGGTTTACTCACGCTAGAGTGAACTAAACTAATGGTCAAAGGTTTGGAATAGTTAGGAGTTTTTAATGTATTGGAAAGAAGTCTCTTCTGCCCACCAAGGCTGCATTTATTAAAAACAGTAATATTGTGAAATATTACTACAATTTTCAACTGTGTCTAACGTGATGTATTTCTGTGATGGGGCGCAGTCTTCAGTGTCACATGATTCTTCAGAAATCAATCTAATATTCTGCTGCTCAAGAAACATTGCTGATTACTATCAATGCTGAAAACAGCTGTGCTGCTGAATATTGATAATAATAAGGACCATTATTAATACTTGAGCATTGATCTGAAGGATCATGTGACACTGAAGACTGGAGTAATGATGCTGAAAATACAGCGCTGCATCGTAGGAATACATTACAGTTTACAACATATTCACATAGAAAACAGTTGTTATAATATTTGACAATGTTACTATTTTACTGTATTTTTTGATCGAATAAATGCAGCCTTGGTGAGCAGAAGAGACTTCTCTCCAAACACTCGTAATTAATTATTCCAAACATTTGATATGTTAGAGCTGGCGTATGTTTATTTACCTCCGTCTCCTCCTTATGTACATCACCTACAGTATAAAACAAGAAGACACATTAGCATTTTACTACAGGAACACAATACATGTGTGCATAACAAGACACATTCATAAACGAATAAAGGCCTTTTGTCTGGATGTGTACTGCTCAGTCAAATTACTCCGTCGTGCGAGTTCACATTCTTCCCCACAGGCTAGCACAGCTAGAAACACGCTGAAGAGACATGCGTGCTACCACTGCTTTCACACGCCAGCACCTACCACTGCTGCAGCAGTCCCGAGGGCCGTGATGAGGAAGAAGGGGAGCAGCACGTAGCTGAGGGCCGCGTCTCCGCTGATGGTGTGAGGGGGCTGCGTGGTGCCGTTCATGCTGTAACACACTCAGACCGGCATCTGTTTACTGCTCATCTTCTGCACGCATGTGACTCCCACATGGTCTCTCGGCCCTCACTAGTGACTGTCAGGTCCAAGAGCATACAGTTATTTACGGATGGGGACGCAGGCAGGATATATAGAGTTGATCTGTTTTATTTCAAACTTGTTTGCACTCGATCTACTTGATCAGTCAAATGTACTTTGTCTTGGACAGATAGATTATTTGCTTGGGGGTATAGGTACATTGCCTTTTACAACACCTTTTAACTGCAGCGGGTGACGCTCACAAAACAGGTTCAGGTCACTTCGAAATCAGAAGGAAAAAAGTTATTTATCATTTTCGTTGTTTATAAAACTTCTTTACGATAACCCCCCTCTCTTATCTTCTAATGTTTGGATTATTATTTTATTTATTTGTACTTTCGTTTACTCGCATTACTGTAATGCGGCGATGTTTTAAAACGTACATTGAATTAGCATTTAAATCAAAGCCATACGAAAAACAACCATAGCATAGTTTTGCAATTTTGAGTAATATATTATTGCTATAATAAGCGTTTTTAGCATTTAATGAGAATGTTGTATATTATGATTATACAATGTGTTTGAGGATATACCGCGGTATTGAATCACGTACCGCGGTTTAGAAATATCATATTCATAATCATATTGTACATCACAGCAGCATGTTTTTTTTCTAAAGCGGTTGACATGGCACAACGGGACTGTCATCAGTCATTTAATATACAAATGCAAACCGCACAACTTATATTTATAATAGGGAAATATAACATTTAATTCAAAACGTCCAGCAAAGGGCTAATATAAAAAGCGTCATGACTCAGCGGAAGAAAACAAAACGCATTCAGTGGCATTATCTGCTACCATTTGTTTTCGTGCATTGTTTTACTGTGGTGATCATCGATAACAGCATCAGTGCCATAAAGATAATTATAATAATAACACCGTGATGTCTGCGGATTCATGACCAGCCAAACCTCACTAGCGAGCCGTTAAAGCAAACCCACCTGATTCAGTCAAGAGAGCCGGACGAGTGTCCCTTCGCTGTAAGAGCCTCCAAATCCAGTTATTATAACACAAGTCACGCGTCTGTCTGTCAGTGTTTACGGGAAGTATGGAAGGCGGACGGGGCCAAATGTCTTTAAACGGAACGCGTGAAATGCGACCGCGTCAACACGCACAATTTGCCCGCGTTAACGCGGCAATTTTGAACGCGTTTCTTTTGTACGTGTAGACACGCACGTTTTGGCCGCGTTTATTTGGTTCGTGTAAAGACGCACAGTTTGACCGCATTAAGACCAAAATTTCAACGCACACATTCTGGCCATGTTAAGGTGGCAATTCTGAACTTGTAATATTTTTTAAGGCATTAAAATCTATTTACCCTCATATTAATACTTTCTTTAGTTTATGGTGTCAATAAGTAGGCCTAATGTTGTAGCTAGTAAATTAATAAATGTAATGAGATGTAAAGAGTTTTGTTGTTTATTTTCTTTTTATAGGTTACTCTTAGCCTACTCCCAGGTCCATGTACCTTCAGGTCATTTGAAAAGAAATTAAGCTAGATTTTTCTCTTTTTTCATGGGTTAAAAATTAGAATATGCTTTAATATTTTAATATATATTTTTTATGCTTTAATATTTGTTTTGAATGTGTGAGTGGCTCTGAAACACCTTGTACACATGTACGCCCCTTCAGTTCATAATTCCAAAGTATAGACTATAATTGGGCCTTAAGACATTGCAGTAGACTAATTATTATTGTGAAAACGTAAGTAGGCCTAAAGTTTTATTATAAATTATTAATAAAAATAAAT